TCCAATGAGCTGCTTTCGCTGGTTCCCAGATTTCATGAATTTAAGCGTTCTACTAGGCTGGCATCTCGCTCTCACCCTTTCACTGTTGAAACTGTTAAATGTAGACGTCTCTTCTCACATCTCTCGCCTGTGGAACTCCCTTCCCTTTTCTTGTTTCCCCGATAGCTATAATCTCCAACTATTCAAATGTAATGTCAATCGACATATCCAGATGCCCTGATCTATCCCCTAACCTTCTCTTCATTCTTTCCTCTATCATTCCTATTTGCTCTAGCTCCAACTCTCTGTAAACCCTTGTGCGCTAGTGGTTTCCCAGCTTGCTTGGGGCGAAAAGCTTAAAAAAAAAGCCATAAAAAAAGAAGTTAATTACAATTACTCTTTCGTGAAGGCTTTATGAGACAGTTGAAGCAATTTCATAATGACATTACTAATTAGCTGTTCGTCTAACGTTTCTTTTCACTAAAAAAAGCATTCATCTTCGTAGCTCGGCTAAGATTAAAATTTCTCATAAAAATCTAAGTGTGTAACTCAGTCTGAAGAAAACTGTAAATAAAGTTATAATTTTTTAAAGTGCACACGAACTCTATGGACACCCTGCATATATATATATATATATATATATATATATATATATATATATATATATATATATATTGGTGAAGGAGGCACGGTCTAGTAGTGGTTCGGATTGAGGAATCGGTGAGCCAAGTTCGAATTCCAGTAGAATTCAATATATTCACTTACGTGCTAAAGGTATGAATCCTTTTCTTCCCCACTCCACCCCAGCAATAGGTAAATCGCAGGTCAGACTGGGTTCTATAGCCTGGGATGGCAACTGGTATAGGAGAATTCTGAACTTAAAATCTGCGGAGGGTCGTTTTGGACCACTTGTGGCACGTGGTGCACCAAATCTCTGTATTCGGCTCATTAAAATGTGTAGTTGGCTCTGCACAAATTCTTCAGCACTATAATCAAATCATATGGGCAGGTGTCTCGCTGTCGGTTCCTAAGAACTGAGTTACTTGACGCTCATACGCCGAAAAACGACGGGAGAGTCCAGCATATTTATCGTAATACTATTGTGGTTGGTAATAAAAAGTTCTTGATAAAAGATAGAGCGTACAACATTATAAGAAATAATCTTTCAAACTTGGTTTTGTTCTAGTTATCTTTTTATTCTATACCTTTTATTATAATTATATATACTAGTTTAAACCCATGAAAAATGTCGCGATTTTCCTATTTGGTGAATAATAATTCTTAACTAAATGATTGAATAAGTTCATGGTGAGTTCTAAAAACAACGACACAGACGAGAAATAGCGAATGTAGCAAATCCAATATGGCGTAAAGCCGGTGAAGCCGCGTAACGACCTTTTATATTATGGCAGATGGCACCGTAACCACGATACGCCGCACGTCAGATTCAACGTAACCAGAGGACCTATTATTAAATATTGACAGAATTTACAAGAAGTACCTGTGAAATATTCACAATTTTCCTATTTGAATTTTCTGATGAATCTTAATTCTTCAGTGAATGACTGAATAAGCTAATCGTGAGTTCTACGAATATGAAATATCCGTAGAAATTCGCCCTATCGTATCGTTATATATTTGAGCTTAAAGACTTTAACAAATATTGCAATATCTTACTTATTATAAAACGCATTGTGTGTGTGTGTGTGTGTGTGTGTGTGTGTGTGTGTGTGTGTGTGTGTGTGTGTGTGTGTATGCTTATATATTGGACCGGATTTCCTACATTTTTCAACCGATTTCAACAAAACTTGACAGGAATACGTAAAATTACCTTGCAGTCGTTCTAACAGCGCCAAAAATTGGAAAAACACAATTGTTTTTGCACGAAACCAATTTGAAAACACGATTAAGAGGCATTAATGAAAGGGAGACAACTCATATCGAGTTATACTTATTAATATCGAGTTATCGAGTTATACTTATTATAAAACCCAGGTTGGTTGGTTGTGTGTGTGTGTGTGTGTGTGTGTGTGTGTGTGTGTGTGTGTGTGTGTGTGTGTGTTCGTTTATATATGGGATCGGATTTCCTACATTTTTCAACCGATTTCAACAAAACTTCACTTTTTTTTTGGCAGGTAGTGTTTCTTATTGTCTTGCAAACTTTTTTCTTTATTTTTACATTCAGAATGCTTTAAAAATTCCATTTACAAGACAATTGTTTATAATAACATTCTATTCAATCGGTAGACTCATAACGATTGCTGTCTTTTCCATCTTTGCATGCGATCAAAATTGAATAGTTCATTATTTATGAGGTATTAGCAGGAGACGTTAAACTTTTCTACATTCTCTTCTTTCTTTCCTTCTTTTTTCTTTCTTTCTTTCTTTCTTTTTCCCTTCTTTCTTCCGTTCTTTCCTTCTTTCTTTCTTTCTTTCTTTCTTTCATTCATTTTCTCACTGAAACTAAATAGCCCCTCTGCTATGTCTTTTCCATCTTTGCATGCGATCAAAATTGAATAGTTCATTATTTATGAGGTATTAGCAGGAGACGTTAAACTTTTCTACTTTCTTTTCTTTCCTTCTTTTTTTCCTTCTTTCTTTCTTTTATTCATTTATTTTCTCACTGAAACTAAGTAACGTGTCTGATATGTACAAAGAATATAACATACTAAAATTATCCCTGGAAATTTCACGGTTGGCTTATTCGAATTTTTTGATGAATCTTAATTCTTAACTTAATGATTGGGTAAGCTCATGGCGAGTTCCACGACACCAAAATATCCGTAGAAATTCGTCTATTGCATCATTAAATACATGTGCTTAACAAGTTTCAACAGAATATTGTAGTCGCTATAATAATATGAAAGGTGATTGTCATTTATAAAGTAAAGAGGTACAAATCAAAAGATCTGAAATTGACAACTTCTATTTTATTGAAGCAGAGGTTAAACACTTATTTCTTCCCTTCTTTCTCTCAATTTCTCACTGAAACGAAGTAGAGACTTTGTCTTCTCATGCGATCAGAATAGAATAGTTGATTATTTATGTGGCATTAGCAAAAGACATTAAACACTTCTAATTTTTTTCACTGAAACAAATCAGCGTCTCTGATATATCTTTTTTTGTTTCCAGGCGATCAAAACGGTACAGTTTATTATTTATTAGGTATTGGCAGGGCGTAACGGTCGGACGAGCTGACGAAGGTATGGACAAGTACAAATATATATATATATATATATATATATATATATATATATTTTCCTTTTTTTTTTCCATGTGTAACTCAGATGAGGCACAGGGGCGAAAGTATGGGGCACCCATTGAGAACCAAATTCACTCAATCGTAATTGTTCTAGCGAGACAAGCTTGCTAACCATTACATCATTTCGAGGTGCCCAATATATATATATATATTGAACAATAAAACATATTAAAAAATTAAAATCTTCAGACACACTGGGTTGTAGATTAATATTCTTTCGTGTTTATTATTATTATTTCATTTAGATTCCTCGACTAGTTTCGGCCAACATGGCCATCCTCAGGAGAAGAAATATTTCTGCTTGCTGGTAGCAGTGAACTACAGATTCGCATCTCATCAGGCGATAGTAAATAACTGGTGTGTAGACAACTTATTGAGATTTGAAAACAAGATAGACTGTTTTAAAATCTCAATGAATTGTCTACTCAACAGTTATTTACTAACGCCTGATGAGATGCTTTGATTCGCATCGAAACACGACTGCATTTGTGTAGCGTTTTTGACATGATTTTGATGAAATATCCAAAATTAAAAAAAAATATTGCTCTACTTTGTATTTTATCTTTTAAATTGAATGTTTCGAACGTTGAAATTAGACTCTATTCCTTCTCATTTTGCATATATATATATATATATATGTGTGTGTGTGTGTGTGTGTGTGTGTGTTTGTGTGTGTGTGCGTGTGTTTGTATGTGTGTGTGTGTGTGTGTGTGTGTGCGAAACCAGTGAATAAGTATCTGTCAATCATACATGTCGTATTGATCACCTTCTTATGTAATGCTGAATCATTGGTAATCTACTAAAACCTCCTAATTAAATGTTTCAGTCAGTGTTGTTGCTATAGAATAATCATTGTTTACTGGGGCGTATTGATTGCCAAATTTTGTGGGTTTTCATGATTGCAAAAGTTAAGACTGTCTTATTATTGTGAGACCGGAAACTACCTTCACAACAGACTCTTCCAGGTCTATATTAAGTATGCGACACAACACTCAACAGAGTGACACAGAGAGACAGTGAGAGCTGCGTACGACTACCAGTATTGGACACTAACATATAGTAAGCTCCGCTTACACTATCTCTGTAACCTGTTGTTAATATATCTTTCTTACAGCTAATCCGTGTTCCGTGTTTTCCTTCTGTGCTCCTAACTTTGGCCCCACATCACTTATATTTTACAATTTACTGAAATGCCCATTAATCATCGAGACACAGAAACGACAAGAAAAAAGCACCAAAATACATTAAAGAAGACCTCTGCCACATGTGGGATTGACTACCACCAGTACTGAATGGAAAACTTCAAGAATGTTGATAACGCTATTTTTCCTGTAGATCATCATCATCATCATCCTCAGCGCTCCGACTGAGAAAGGTCGTAGTGTTGCTGTTCAGCTGCGAACCTGAGCACATGATCCGTTCCCTTCGCGTATTTGCGTTGATAGTCAGCGAAATATCGCATCTGGCTTGAAAGAAGTGCTATCCATATCCAAGTTAAACCACTGCTTATGTCCCCCAACATGGATGTTAGCTTAGGTCAAAGACACGTATCCGTTAATTCCATCGCTGGGAAGCCTCTACCTGGTCATCACCGTACTGGCTGGATAGCGAGATATGAAAGTCAGTGACAGGTCTTGTTTCTGTTAGGCCTCAACCAATTTTCCTCAACAGGAAGGGCAGGTTAGGAGACCGTTTTTTGTCACCGATTATTTGATTGTGGTGTACTCGATTATATGGTAGAGTTATCTGATGCAGTTTCTTAAGATATATAAGCACAATTTGCAGTATGCGAAAATATTGAGATACGTACATAAATATGAGCACAGAAAGAAAGAAAGAAAGAAAGAAAGAAAGAAAGAAAGAAAGAAAGAAAGAAAGTAAGTGTTGAGGGGTCCTCCCCTTTTTTACATAAATGGACTCACCCAGTATATACATATACTACTGCTACGTGAAGACCCGACAGACCGACCGGAGAACAGAATCGAGTCCAGAGTGACCGAGTAAAAGGTTGTAGGTAGCCGGAAGAGTGAGGGGTGAGGTAACAGCGTTGTAGGAGTCACAGTGAGCGAGCACGTAGACTCAGTAAGAAGTCATACAGCGATACTTCAATACCAAAGACTGTATATATATTTTGCTACTAACCCGTATTCCTGGGACTACTAACCTGCTTTACCAGTTTGTATTATTACGTTAATACATTATTTTCATATATTCATTCCTGGCGTTTGTTATTTATTGGTACCGGATTTCATCGCGGAATTCACAGCAGAAAGAAAGAAAGAAACACACTTTGTAAGTCTATGAATTCGAATACACTGAGTACATAGGCAGATAGAATCGAATATATTAAGCAAGTAGATAGATATATAAATAGATAGGCTCAGTATATAGACAGATAAATACGAATACATTAGATAGATAGATAGATAGATGATAGATAGATAGATAGATAGATAGATAGATATACAAATACATTAAGTAGATAGATAGACAGATGAATAGGAAGAGACTATGAAAGAAAAAAGAAAGAAATACAGGCTTTACAAGCCTATGAATTCGAATGCACTGAGTACATGGATTGATAGAATCGAGTATATTAGATAGATAGATAGATAGATAGATAGATAGATACGAATAGTTCAAATAGATAAATAGAGAGATACGAATACATGAAGGAGATAGAGAGATAGATACGAATACATTTCGATAGATAGATAGATAGATAGATAGATAGATAGATAGATAGATAGATAGAGAAGAGAAGAGAAGAGAAGAGAAATAGATCAACCTATTGATCAAATAATTTTAGCATTTGTCTAACATTTTCAATGAGTTACAATAAATCGCCTTAAGTATTAATCCTTTTTCTTCTTTTGAATTTCGGCCATGTTGACCAGAATCGTGTGTTGTGAGGTTTGGGTTGCGGGGAACGATGGAGTAGCTTTTGGTAATTGAGATTCGCACGTTTCAAACTGAAAGCAGTCAGTGAGAGACTGGATCGGAGAGGATGTGCTTGCCTTACATTTGATACTGAATCACTTTCTATCGACAGTCTTGTAAATTGAAAGCCAGCATCAAGAATCATTCAATTCTTCCTTTGCACAAAGCCTGCCACGCGTATTTTGAACTTCTACATGTCCATGCATCTTTGGAGGAATTCACTTCAATAAAAACAAAGCAGACCACCTTTCTGAAACACGCATGTATATATGTAGATAAAGGTACAAATGCACAATGCACGCACACACACACACACACACACACACGCACACACATATATATATATATATATATAGGTATAGATTTAGATAAATCAAACGATCAGATATAACCAACGGTCTACGTACTATTTTATTTTTGGTCTATGAAGCAGCGTTCCTCGCATGTGATATCTGTGTATTTTTATAAAAAAAAAACATATGATATACTTTGTGCCCGATGAGCTGGAAAACCAGCGAAACTTAAGTCGCACACAAACAAAACACACACACACACATATATATATATATATATATATATATATATATATATATATATATATATATATATATATATATATTACAATGAATCATTCATAAAAAAGTAGATTAGTAAAGTTAATGATATAAAATGGCGAAAATTATTTAGTTTTATGGTAAAACATATTTCGATTCGCATTTAATTTTTTCGTCTCGGATGCTACCTGAATTTTACCAAAAAACAAAATAATTTCCATGCATGAAGATGACTGAATGTACTGTTGAAAGTACTTGAGTATTAAAGAAAGACCTTATAAAGCTTTTAATATCTAAAAATAAGGATCATAACATTCATAGAATGATTTGTAGGTTAATGCATTTTTAAAATTTTGTTTGCGAAGGGATTTCGCCATTTTATATCATTAACTTTACTAAATTACTTTTTGTATAAATGATCCATTGTAAAGTCAAGAGAATCCTTGAAAATCCATCTAGGTTATAATTTATTTTATGAATATATTTAAGTATTCATCTCTTCTGATCGAGGGTTTTTTTTAGAAATGAGATCAATTTGTCCAGACAGATAGAAAAAAAAAACGGAAGAGTTTATAAGAAAGGAAAAAAAGGAGAAAGAAAAAAATGGTGGTGGGAAAGTGACTGAAACTGAATCACCAGATCAAAACTGTCGAACATTCCCTGGCATACTGTAGGACAGATATCACGTAACAGCACAGAACAGTTTTCTTTGTTTCTAAAGAAGTTTTCGCATCTCTTAATACTCTGCTTAGCTTCTGAAATGCATCATTGGCTATCCCTGTACGCCTTCGGATTTCAGTGTCGCGCTTTCCGTCCTCTGTTAGAACACTTCCCAGGTATTTAAATTAATTGATACCGGCTTCAAAATGAGAACTCAAAGAGATGAGTTTGAATTCTAGTCGAGTTCATTACATTTACTTATGTGCAAATGCCGTGGGGAAAAGTAGGAATCCAATTCTTTCCCCAGTTCTGCGTTAATGAGAAGGAATTGTATCGGGAAAAAAATCATAATTCTCAAATAAAATTGTTACAATTGTTACATTCTTGAACTTCAACATTTGCTCGGCCTTAAATTGAGCGATGAAAATCACTAATCAATCAATCAACTGTATCTATCACATTCTATCTATCTATCTATCTATCTATCTATCTATCTATCTATCTATCTATCTATCTATCTATCTCAAACTGACCGTATCTATCTATCTATCTATCTATCTATCTCAAACTGACCGTATCTATCTATCTATCTATCTATCTATCTATCTATCTATCTATCTATCTATCTTATACTGTTCGCATCTATCTTAGTATGTTCACATCTATCTCATTCTTTTCATATCTATCTTAGACTGTTCACATCTATCTATCTATCTATCTATCTATCTATCTATCTTAGTCTTTTCATTATCTATCTATCTATCTATCTATCTATCTATCTTAGGCTGTTCGCATCTACCTCAGTATGTTCACATCTATCTTACTCTTTCCATCTATCTCAGTATGCCCACTTCTCACTCTTTTAATATCTTTCTGTTCACATCACTCTATCTCAGTATGTCCACAACTATCTCACTCTTTTGATATTTATCGTAGACTATTCACATCTATCTATCTATCCATATATCTATCTCTTCTATCTTAGACTGTTCACATCTATCTCACTATGTTCGCATCTATCTCACTCTTTTCATATCTATCTTAGAATGTTCATATCTGTCTATCAAGCTACCTACTTACCTACCTACCTACCTACCTACTTACCAATCTACTTACCTATTTGCCTATCTAACGCAATTCTTTGATGCCAATCCATTGTTGTGTTTGTTTAACACTAAACATAAAAGAATTATATGAAAAAGCAGCTGGTGAAATCCTAGCTTCTGCCAGAGATTGAACTCCGATAACTGTCATTAATATATTAGGCTTCTGTAAATGTATAAAATAGGTATTGATATTTTATGTAGCGAATCAGCAGTCGAAATTATTTTTTTTTCCTCAGTTGGTTTGTTTATCAGCAATTAGGTTATTTGATGTTGAATTTAATACGAGGCATTCACTGAAGCACAGATTCATTCGTAGGTAGTAATGGACATCCATACTAGCTTTGTTAAACCATTACCCGACACCGAAACATCGCTTTCTTCTCCCTGGGGTAGAAATCTAATACATGTTATCAGAACATGTATGGCAGCGTATAACAAGACTAAAAAGTTACATATATCTCACTGAGAGTAATTCTGTTTATATCTATGTATGTATGTATGTATCTATCTATCTATTCGCAGTATGTTATCATCTATTTCAAAATTGTCATGTCTCCGTTTGTACATATCTATCTATCTATCTATCTATCTATCTATTGATGAGTGCTTGTTCATATCTATGTATGTATGTATCTATCTCAATCTTGTTATATATATCTCTGTTCATATCTATCTATCTATGACAGTTGTTCACATTTATCTCTCAGTCTGTTCTTATCTATCTCAGTCTTGGCATATATATATATATATATATATATATATATATATATATATATATATATATATATATATATTTGTTCATATCTATCTATATATCCACCTATGACACTTTGTTCATATCTATCTATTTCAATCTTGTCATGTATTTCTCTGTTTGCTCATACCTATCTATTTATCTGTCTAATCTAAAGTAAAGATAAATGAGGTTATTTGCTAGGATTATTTTCTGCTCTTCTCTGTATTCTCAAAGACCACTAACGCTAAAGAACTCAGAATTCCTTAAACTGGAAAAAATTGGAACTCTGTGTAATCGTTCAAACGTTAAAATCGATCAGAGAAACTGCTTTTGTTAGTCTGTTTCTTTTTATACATTGTTCTTTCCATATGTGAATCCAGTAAGTAATGCAAAACAGCAGGCCTATATATACACACGCACGCGCGCGCACACACACACACACACACACCGACATATGTATTTACGCATGTAAATACGTATATATGCACGTATGTAAGTAATCTTTTCGGATTACTGCGGTTTTTATCCATGGACAGGACATGGGTACACCGTTTTTACCCACTATAAAAACTTTCATGCACAAGTATTGCACGATATTTCCAGATTTTATTCCGTGATGCACAGGCGGGCCGTAGCCTAAAGGGACAAAACGCTCAAGGATGACTAACAATGTCATTGATACAAATGTCAATGATTTAGAACTGTCTCAAATCAATTGCTGGATGGTGCTGCTGACGCAAATGAAGGTAACAATTTTTAAATTATTCGGACTATTGTCCTAATCTTTGTCGCCATATTTATTACAACGTTTCTGCCAGTGTACACTCTAGCCTTCTTCAGGTGGTTGGAATGTCGAACTGAACCCTTTACATCGCTCACTTGGGTAGACTGTTCTAGTTCCACGTGCCATGTTTTATGGGTGTCAGCTATCAGTTATCGCCTGTTAATTCCCCTCTGCAAGTTCTCCACTGCCTTAACCAGGTATTGAACTCACACTCTTTGGGTCCTGTCACTGGATCTAACCAACACCATGCACAGTGGATAAAAGACTCAAAGTCTCTGTTTGACAATGGTGAGAATTGGTTCCTGGTGGCCCACAAAACTTTTAAACTTTTTTCGCTCAAACTCATTATTTTATGTTCCCAATAGAAGATGCCAAGGAATTTTCTCATGCATTTGTTCTCAAATGCTTTGATCCCTCTCTCTGTATTTGCCAAAAGTGTCCACGCTTCACATTCATATAAGAGAAGGGAGACGACCAGTAATTTGTACAGTCTATACTTTGTTTGAAAGCTGATTTTGATCCTCCGTATTCTTTTCAATTTGGCCACAGCTGCCATGACTGCATCAATCCGTATGCGGATTTAGAAGTTGCAGTTACAAAATTTAGACAAGATTGCTCCTAAGTATTTAAAACTGAACATTTCTTCCAGTAAATGCTCGTTCATTGTAATGTTGACATAGGTCTTACTGCTAATGTAATTACAATAACTGTGGATTTCTCGAAGCTGACCTCCATTCCATATGCTCCTGCTCTTTCAAAAAGTGTGTTGATCAAGTCCTGGAGCTCACGAGAAAAGTATAATTTAAATAGTTCTAAAATTATACAATTAAATTATGATAGCTGCTAAAACTGCACTAAATCTAAACAGCTTCTGGATAGAATTTACGATGAAATCCAAATAAATTCTAAATCTAAAAAACTATAACAAAATATATTCGAAAAATGGATGACTAAATGTATATAGCTTCTAAATCTCTACGACTAAGACAAAATAGCTTCTCAATATCTACGACAAAGACAAAATAATTTCTCAATATCTACGACTAGAACAAAATAGCTTCTCAATCATTACGACTAAAACAAAATAGCTTCTCTATCTTTACGACTAAAACAAAATAGCTTCTCAATATCTACGACTAGAACAAAATAGCTTCACAATATCTACGACTAAAACAAAATAGCTTCTCAATATCTACGACTAAAACAAAATAGTTTCTCAATATATACGACTAAAATAAAATCACTTCTCAATATCTACGACTAAAACAAAATACTTTCTCAATATCTACGACTAAAATAACTTCTCAATCTTTACGACTAAAGCAAAATAATTTCTCAATATCTACGACTAAGACAAAATAGTTTCTCAATCTTTCCGACTAAAACAAAATAGCTTCACAATATCTACGACTAAAACAAAATAGCTTCACAATATCTACGACTAAAATAAAATAGTTTCTTAATATCTACGACTAAAATAAAATAACTTCTCAGCATCTACGACTAAAACAAAATAGTTTCTCAATATCTACGACTAAGACAAAATAGCTTCTCAATCTTTACGACTAAAAGAAAATAGCTTCTAAAAAGTCAATTAACACCAAGTAGCTTCTGGATTGAATTTAAGACAAAATTCAAATAACCTCTTAAACTGTATCTGTCTATATTTTTGAGATGAGGTGTTGATCAAGGTTTCAGTTCGACATTCCAACCACCTGAAGAATGCCGGAGGTTACAATGGCCGAAACGTTGTAATAAATATGGCGACAAAGATGGGGACAATTGTCCGAATAATGTAAACAGTTCTCTTAAACTGTACAACTAAATTAAAATAGCTTCGAAAATATATACTGCTTTGAAGTTCATGGAAGAGTACCAAGACCCAAAAGTAAGTGGCAGGACGACGATTTAGTAAATATTTAGTAGACACGAAAAACCGTTGTAAAAATTTCATGTCCCACGCATTATTTGCAAAGTATCATTCTTGCAGATAACGTTTCGACCAAAGCTAATTGACCAATCATCAGTCACTAAACAAATAATATAAAAATGTACTTAATACCGTGTCGACATTTTGAGAATACTTCTGTTTTTTTCACTAAGGAGTCCAACGCTGTGTCTCAAACGCAACCTCTACCGTAGGCAACCACTAAATTCTGCCTCACCACCCTGATGCTTCTCACCACAAAATACTCCACCCAATCACTTTATTCCCATGCTCTGGCCCCGAAATTGTCATTTAATCAATAGAGAAATTTATAAGCAAACGTAGAAATTGTGCAATTTATCAAAAAGGTTATTTTTTTATTGTCTTCTATTTACAAGTTTATTGCTGTAAGCCAGACAGTAAACCGATTTTTTTAACAGGAAAACTCACTTTAGAGGAATTTATTTTATACCGCTTAAAAAAGAAGTTCATCATTCGAAACAGACTGTCATTATTTTAAGTTATCTTTTTACTGTTTCTTTTTAATTGATTTTTTCCTTTTACTTACAAATTTATTTCTATTTTGCCTACAAACTTATTTCGATTAAAGGCGCGTAAATTACTTGCTGTGTCAGCTTTTAAGTTTTTTTTTTTTTTTTTTCTTTTTACTTCTAATTCTAAAGATACCGTTTCATTTTTATGTGCAGATAAACGCAAGTAAAAATTGCTATTTTTTCTTTTAATTGTTATCTCCAGAATCAGACGGTCAACGGTGCAGTGACCACTGAGGCATTAATATTTTTCAGTTCATTTTTCGATTAAGGGCGATCAATTCTATTTTATTTTAATATGGTTGCGCTTGTAGCGTAAATAAAAATGGATTGATCGATTGATTTTTTTATGGCTTATCAATCTTTTTATGGTTATCTGAACCGAAACATATTTTCGGATTCTAAGAACTTTTTTTTAAAGATAATAATGATTTTCTGGTACAAGACTTCAACCGCACATCCAAGATTACAACAGCTTGCATTCCCATGCAGAGCGGTAACCATTCTTATGTTACAAGGAGTTTTGTTGGTCTCTCAATTGCGCTCTACACATAATAATCTAAGAGGTTGCAGTCTGGAGAGTTGAGGCACTTGATGTAGGCCACCATGTTGGGTTTGAGGCCTTGTAGGAAGATGAATGGAGTCGTAACGTCGCCATCAGTAATGATCACACCAAACATCGTAACCACCATTAGACTCACGCATCCAACTATTTCCAAATTCCCTGAATTGTCCTCAGATTGACACCCAAACACTCTGAAATGTTTATTTTGGAGCTTCCGGCGCGAATACCAAGCAGTACAGCCATCATTTTACAAATTTCTGGTGGAGTGAATTGCATCATAGTGCTATTTTTCTCGCAGACGGTGTTCAACAGACCCTACTATACTGTGCAGTCGACAAAATCAAAAACAAACAACGCGCATGCGCGAAATTAATAAATATATCATGCCGTCAATTTACGCAATGCAGCCTGCATATGGTAATGTATATTCACTGTTGTGGCCTGTTTAGAGGCCAGAAAGAAAGACACGGAAGATGAAGGTAGGTTGAACAAGTGTATTGAAATAACAGATATATACAAAGCAAGTGCGTTAGTAATAAGCAGATAGAGGTGTACGTCCAAACGGTGGGATAACACTGCGTCTCCGCTGAGCTACGACTCTATATTTAACAGTACCCCCACGAGGAATGTTTAACGTGGGTTTCTCAGAGCCCGTAGGCTCGGCCAGAAATATCCCCTTTGAACCCGCATAAGCCGGTTCGGGATCTGTCTAGCTCCCCGGACGAAACTTTGCCTTTCGGCAAAGTCTCGTCCGGGTTCCTCTCTGCCAAAGAGTTCGACAGAAGTCGTACACAGTCAGAGACTGCTCTACGACTCTCCCCTAGGAAGTCTTACAGTTAGCATTTACTAGCAGGAGAGCCCGGCGTTACCCAGGGATGTAACAGTAAGAGATAGATTAAGTATCGACTATCATAAAGACTGAAAAATAAAATTGACAAAGATTAATGTTTAAGGTTGACGGACACGCATGTCTTAATTAGTTTTTTTTTGTTTTTTTTTTACGAATTGGTCAAACCTAAACTCAAACAAAAACATTG